ATGAACTTAAAATAACAAATTAAGGCAAACAGTTGTTTATTTTTTAGAACAGCCAGTTAACTGTAAATATTTTAATGTTAGTTTGCTCATCTGTGATCTGAGATCATGCTGAGATGAGAAAAATGTCCCCAAACTACAATTTAATACATTAGGGAAAAAAAATAAAAATAATAATTCGAGCTAGTCTTTAGATCATATTTGTAATGTGTTATGGGTCCATTTTTCCTGGAACAGCTTAAACTGAAGAAGTATCCCCTGCTTTGGAGATTTTGTACTTAATTTTAATTTGGGCTTTTGTTTGGAAAAGAGATGGGCTATCTGTGTAAATACAAAGTACAGTTTTTCCATAAAACAGATGTTTATTTTGTATTAAAAATACCACTGTACTTGTTTTACACCATTTGTATACATGTGGTGATATTAATGCTAAACTGCAAAATTCAGGAATTAAAATGTGACCCTATTAAAAACAAAAAAACAAACCAGTGACACTACAAATACTAATCCTTGCAACTGTTACCTTGAAGTGCTAAACTGTACAATATGAAATAAGTACTGTATATGCCCTTGTGGTCTCACATTACTTGGAAAAGTTACATTGTTCACCTCAAGAATGAGACAAAAGCAACTACAGAAACTAAAAATTACAATTTCTTTACTAATGTGTAAATATGTTCTCTGATTTTTCTGTGCATTTTGAGGAAAACATTATAAAGCAAATCTCAAATTCATTTCACTTTAGTGTCCTCAAAGAATCATGGAATGAATTATAAAAATCCCACTAATGAAAAGGATATAAAAGAGCATAAGAAAGGCAGTTTGTGGGTCTATCTGTATTCCTATCTATATGAAATATTCACTGCTGTCTAGGAACCATTTTGGATTTTTATAGGAAAACAATCACTATACCAACTGTTCAGAAGCCACAAGTTTAAGGAACTTCTTAATAAAGTCAATGAGTCCTTGGATCGTTCGCGTTCGCTCTACAGCCCACTTCTTTGTTTTCATTATCGGGGTGTCTCCCACAGCCTTTAGCAGGATATCAACTGCAAAAAGAAAAACAATTATTGATAGTTTAAACATTTAACGAGTATGTGATCTAAA